TTCAGAATAGTTAATATTTGCTCGTTATTTCTTCGGTTTTGTGGATTTATTGCTGTTGATTTGGTCGTGTTGTGCTTGTTTTCGTACAGATCATTGTTTTCCAGAATTTGTGACAAAACGGGCGAAATTTTGCATTTTTTTATTATTTGATCACGGCTAGAGACATGGGCACGACTCTGGGCACGACGCGGTCTGACGTGGCAGTTTCTAGAAGGTCTAGTCAGCGGCGGTTTCTAGAAGACTTCGTCTGCACGCCTTCTGGAAGATTGACGAGCAGAGTTGCATTAGGAGACTAGTTTAAGTTTGAATTTAAATTTAAAAACAATTATCTTTTGTATTATTTTATTATTTTATTTGCTTATCCTTTAGGCTTTGAGAGGCTATAAATACCCACTTGGGGTAAGCCTAAACTCATCATTCAGAATACATTCTTCTTTTCTCTCTAGCTTTTATAAAAGTTTTCTCTTTTCCTTTTCAAGTTCTTTTTATTTTTCTTTATTTTCAAGTTTTATTTTTATGCTAAGTATGACTTTTGTCATGCTTAGCTAAACTTTTCATAAGCCGAGAGCTGTCGCGATGATTCAATTCCAACGGGAGAATTGAAACGGTCCCTTAATATCTTCGGAATCTCTCTCTCAATCTCTGCACTTATTTTTCAAATCAAAACAGTTTTCAAAATCAAAGATTGACTTTGGTCAAGAGGTTGTTGCGATTAAACGTGTAGGAGGAAGACTCGGCTTATAGAAAGCAATTCGACTTCCTGGGAACACACTTGGCGAGATAGATTCGCCAAGAGGGAATTGAGATCGGAATTGACGGTTATAGAAACAAAAATCCGAGTCGGACGCTACGAACTTAAACGGTATTTGATCTACGACAATAGATGTTGTTAGAATCAACTACCGAAGCCGGAATCAAAGATTGCCTTGGGTATTCGGTATACAAGATAGAGTCACAAGGATAGCCCTTGTAGACAAAGTAACCGACGTGTATCCCGAAGAGAAAATCTTATTCGATGATCTAAAGGAAATTGAATCAAAGCGAAGCTTGAGGCTACTTTTACCGTATTTATTCACAATCTTCATCTTCTTATTTTTACTTTAATTACTTTTATTTAATCACTTTATTATCTTTTACTAAAATCCCCCCATTTTTACTATTTCACGCCTAGCATAAATAATTCAGACAGAAATTTATAATTTTCTAAGTCCCTGTGGAATCGACCCTTACTTCTCTTTGCTACGCATTTCCTTAATTTATTGATTGAGAATAAGGAGTTATTTTGACATCCGAAATGACAGTTGTCAACCTTTTTCAGTAGAGTTAACAGGACCTAATTTAATTTCATTACACTTCCCCCTTGATGCCGCCAGACTATCACTATGTAAATCCATTATATCTTCAGCCTGTAAGCTCATCCCTTAAGGAAGCCCAATTTCTGGAGAACCTACAACAAAAGCTCCATCCATAACTCTGTCATCCAACCTTGAAACCCCGTCTATAATAGGCTTGACCACATTTGAGTCTATAACATTAATCTCAACCTCATCAATATCCAATCCTTGCAACCCCACGTGATTAGAGTGATCTGAAATTTGAAAACCGACTCTCTCTCTACCTTCTTCGATACCACAACCGACCTTGATCGGCTTCCCAACATTAACCTTGTTACGAACTCCAAGGCTATCTCCAGTGCACGCGCCATCAAAAGTGCCACCACCGAACAAAGGTGACCCTTTATTATCGACTAAACTTCCCGACTCAGATGCCTTTAAAGGATTAACGGAAAAATTTACCGATGAAATACCTTCTTTATCAGCTCCAACCTCCACCCCATCCTTCTCATCCTCAATCTCTTTTTTATTTATAATTTCAGTTTTAGACAGTTTAACTAACGAATGATCCACCATCCCTACTTCAAGTACTCAGACAATAAACTTCTTATTCTCCACCACCACATCTACAGCTTCATCAATCCGAGCTTCCGCCGAAGTAGAAATCAACATATTAACTTTCCCACAATCTATATGATGATATACATTTTCTCCAAAAGCTTCAAATCTACCCCATAAGCCAACTAATCTTTTCAAAGTGACTTCATTCCAACAATGCAATGGTAATCCATCTATCTCTATCCATACAACTCTTTCTATTTGACATATAGACTCTGTCCAAAGCATAATATCCACGAAAATCTCCTTCAAGTAAGTCCACTGGAGGTCTTCAAGCATGATAAACAAATCTTCATCCTCAATGGTAAGCAGAAAAGAGTTCCCATGTAATCTTTGAACTTTAATTTCCCCTAGCCCCCAGTTATGTAATCTATCAATGATACTCCCAACACTACAAACACCAGCCATAACTCCCACCAAACATCTCTTCAACTTTCTAACACTGTCCTCATCCACATGCCCATAACTTCCTTCCTGGATGCACACACTTGGTCAGCCTCCTTACTTAGTGTATTTTCGTTTAAGGTTGGGCTTATAATTTTTTATTTCCATAATATCTTACTCTACACACATTTAACCTTCGGGACCTTCAAAGAATACATAGAACAACTCACTGAGATGCAACTGCCATACACCAAAAGACCATTCAACCATTCCCTAACTCTTTCAGCTTCTACCAGATTGCAAACTTTTACGAAACCAAACCTAGTGCATGCTCGACTCCTCTTCTTTGGAATATATACACTCAGAACCTCACCATAACGACCCACTATCTGCCATAAACCTTTTCAGTGAATAGAGTTTGGTAGATTATCCACAAACAAAGAAATAGTTTCTGACAGAAAACCTGAACCACTCTCCATTTTTGCTTCAAGCAACTTTTCTTCAGATTATGCAAAACCAATCAACCAATCCTGGTTAATTTTTCATATTTATTATGGTTTGGTTCTAACACTGATGTTCAATTTCCCCTTATCAAGACTGCTACACTCGTATCAACGAATAAATTGTACCAACACATCCTTGAATTTTCCCTTATCCTGATCGCTTTATCTATCTTTTTTTTTCTCTCCAGGTCTTATAAGTAATATACAACTAAGTAATATTATTATGAAACTTTATTGAACTTAAGATTTAAGTAATAAACGACTACATTTATTTGTTTTTAACTATTATTATCTTCCTTAAAAGATATCTTTATAGAAATCATCATAAGACAATATTGGAAGAGTTATGTAGAAAAGGTTGAATTTGTAGGTCAACATATAATTTTATTATTGTTTTGAGAAAATTCCATAACCTTTAGATGCATGCATGCATAGATGCATATTTATTGCATGTGCATTTACAAAGCGATTACAATGCATGTTTTTTGGAATTCGTTGTACCATCTTCCATTTTTTGTTGTTGGATCAATCCATAGGCTTCAATGATTGCCCGTTTAATCTTAGGATCAATTGTTTCTCCTCCCCGTGAAAAAAGTCTCTCCTTCAAAACTTTAGGATCCAGCCTTCCTTCGGCTGCCATATTTTTCATGGTTTTAAAAAATATTTTCATCAGAAATTCTTCCTCCTGTTGTGGTGAAGATGATGTCTCCAAATCTTGGAGCCATTCTGAAATGTCTTTCATCACTTCATTTTCTGTCACTTGTTTATCCTCCTCCTTATTAACACCTGGGACCGATTCTTTATTGTCTTTTTTCTCTTCTTTGGGAGTCTCTTCTTTGGATTGTCCTCCCATGAATTGCATTGAGATAATCAGGGACATTGAGAACACAACAAAAGCAATCCTTGCCATCTCTTCTTTTCTTTAATGCTAAGCTAAAATAATAAGAATTGTTCGAAAGTGATAATTAAGAATGAAATTGAGATGAAATTTAATGCATTTAGGATGAGATATTTGCGGCGACTTTTGGATTTGTTGATTGGTATAGTGTTTAAGGATCACACACGAGTAAGATAGCCACGACTTTTTCTCAATATTTTTAAAAATTACAATTTTTTCTCTGTAATTGATGATTTTAGTTTACTTCTCTTTTTTTTACTTCATGATTGCGTGTGTTTTCAAGAAAATTGTTACAAGCATTATACTTATTTTAGACATTCACACTTTTTATATATAAAATATTAATCTGCCTTTATAAGACTTCATATACATTTTTTAAATTCGTAATACAATAATATTAGGATTTATTAGAAAAATTTTAAGTTCACTTGTTAAGAGTTTCGAAACCTATAATATGATTTCAAAATTGTGCTTCAAATTTTTAAAGATATAGGTGTTCTTGGATTTTTAAAACTATTTCAAGTTTAAATTTTGATCCAAAACAATAAATAAAACATTATTGACAATGTTTCCCTTTTAAAATGCAAAATATAAATAAGTATGGGCCAATTTCATATAAAATATAATTTTAAGGACTAAATTGAAATTACAAATTAAAATTTAAATAATTAGACAACACAGAGGGATCAAATCAAAATAATTGTAAAATGTGAAGAAAAAAATTGTAAAATAGACTGAATTGCATTCATTTTAAAAGTTGAAGAAAAGATTGAAATAATTATATATATATATATATATATATATATATATATATATATATATATATATATATATATATAAATGAATGTTATGATAATTTAATACTTGTATATATATATATTATAATCTACATTATACTTATGCATACAATATAAGTATACAATATAAGTATACATTATACTTATATATATATAATATAAAATATATAAACTATAAAATATATAGAAAGAAGTTTTTTGTTCTACTCTATGTTCAGAAAAACTCGAATTTAAATCCAGAGAATAATATTTTATTCTACATTAAAATTACTCAATGAGTATTTTTTTATTTTTAAATTATCATGTTTGGTATCTATTTTCTACTTGGGATCTATTTTATCATGGAGGGTTTTCATTTCTCAGCTTTGCCTTCTTTTTGCATGTGAGATCTCATAAAGACTGTTTGGTTTGTCGGAAAATTCTGAAAGGAAGAATTTATTAAAGCAATAATACAAGTCATAGAAGTTGATTGAAATTGAAAAAGAAAAATCAAAACTAAGCCTAGCATTAAAGTTTGTCTTCCCCTTTAATGGAGTTGTTGCAATGAGCAATTGCAGATTGAATCCCAGCCTGCAGCTCTTCCATGGTGCCATCACTGGTTGCAACAAGAAGACCACTATTTGATGGTGATGTTCTCATTGAAGGAGGAGCTGAATAATAGTCTCCTCCTCTCCTTCCTCTCAACTCTGCTTTTTTGTTCCAAAAAGTACCAGAAAACGAGCAAGCTTTTCTCTTTCTTCTGAAGAACAACAATGGCCTAATCAATCTCGTGTACCTCCTTAACACATCGAATCTCATCTTTTTCTTGTGATTCTCTTTCTCTTCGGTTTCTTTAATGTTGACTCCGCCCCCTTTCTGTTGTCTTTTTAAACCGAACAAAGTGAAAGACTTAGACTTGTTCTTCACTTTTGCTTCATGTTTCTGCATATTACCGTCGCTTTTGCCGATGGTTTGTTTTACAGACTTGAGATCATCAAATAAGTCTCTTCCGGGAACGTTGAAGCCGTCCGATGAACTCGTTGATAAGCGTGGGGAGACAGTGGGGTGAGTAAGGAGATGAAGGGGAAGCAAGTGTCCATGGAAGAAAATGTCATCGGCCGGAGACAAATCGACGGTGATGCTTTTATGATCGGATGATGAATGGAGAGAGAGTGTGAAGGAGAATTCATGAGAAGGGGTGGTCGAAGATGATGACCCTTTTTCTGTTTCCTCTTTTAACTTCCCTCCTCCTCCTCCTCCTCCTTCATATTGATGATGGTAAGTATCCATGATTGATTATAAAGCTACCTTCAAAGACTAGAAAGATGTGAAGAGATTCTCAAATTTTGTTGTGTGAAAGAGTGGGAGTATGGGGTTTAATTTTTTTCATTTAGATGATGACTGACTCGCTCGCACTTATATACTATTTTTAAAATAAATATCTGGATATTAAAAAAGTATTCAATATTTATTTTTTAAATTATGCCATTTAACTTTTTCTATATTATTTTCAACAAACAATTATCCATATGTTATATTAAAAAAACTTATTACTTTCTCAAATATTCTTTTAAATATTATTAAACTCGTCAAGTGTACTCAATAGTTAAAGAGAATATATAGGATATGTTTGGTTCTAAAAAACATTTTCTGTTTTTGTTTCAGATAATAATTTTTATTTTCAATTTTTTAAAACTAGAAAACATGTTTGGTTAATTTAAATGAAATCTTGATTTCAGAAATAAAAAGAATTAAAATATATTTGCTATCTATTTTTTTAAAATTAAAGATGAAAAAATAGTTATTAAATAATTATATTAAACTATATTTATTGAAAAACTCATTACATAAATTTAATAAATTTAATATGTGAGTATGCAAACAATAAAGTTGATAAGAAATTTTATAACATAAAAATTATTTCAGTTTATAATAAGAATATAATGTTAATTCATATTGGACATCAACTAAATTCAAAAAATATATGCAAAAAATATTATTGTAAACAAGAACTCAAAAACATATCATTAAAATAAAAAAATATGTTTAGTGGTATTTAAGGCCCTCAAACTAATGAAAAAAAAAATTAGTATAGCCCTTGAACTTTTTTACACTCAATGTAACTCTTTAATGAGAAAAAAAAAAGCAATCTAACCGACAAAAAGAATCAAACATTAATCGTCATGATACTTACATGACAATTCACAAAGCTTATGTATCAATAGACAATATTGTATTGATATAATAGTTCACGATGTTGTTGTGGTAGTACATGATGAATGATGACGTGGTGGATAGAATTAATTGAATTTTTGATTAATTTTGAGGGCCTAATTAATTCTTTTAAAAAGTTTAAGGACTTAATTATTTTTTTAGAAAAAATTAAGGATGAAATTTAAAATATAAAATATAATCAATTATTAACATATTTAATACATTAAATATAAAAATACTAAAAAATAAATTGTTAAAAATAGTTTAAGGATGAAATTGAGTGTAAAAAAGTTTAGAGATTATATTGATTTTTGGAAAAGTTTGAGGGATTTAGATATTGTTAGGTTTGAGGGACTATGTTTTCCTAATTTTTAAATTTTCAAAATAATTTTAATGAAAATACTAAAAATATTTTTTTTATTTTTGTAATTTTACTTTTTTGTTTTGATTTTCCTGAAATAATTTTCTAATTTTACATTCTATTTTCTAAAAAAGTGAAAATGAATTAAACAAAATCTTATCCTAGCAGGTGAAGGCTCATTGTGGGTTGCTTGGATAAATAACTATGTCCTCAACGATAAAGACTTCTGGCTCATCGATAGTGGTACAAACACCAGCTGGAGCTTCAGGAAATTACTCAAACTTAGGCGAGAAGCCAACGCTGTATTCTCTACCGGAGCAACATCAATTCGTGCAATTTGGGAAGTGACAATAGTTAAGCGAGACAAAGTTCTCTGGCATAATCTGATATGGTTTCCTCTCCACATTCCTAAACATAGCATGATCGCTTGGATGGCTATCTTGGACAGACTTCCTACTAAAGTCAGACTACAACATATGGGTATTGTTACAGATGGTTTATGTGTTTTATATAATGAGTCTCAGGAAACAAGAGATCACATGTTCATAGAATGCCCACTTGCAAGCTCTCTCTGGAAGGAAATCTTACTACTAACCGGCTTGCGGAGATCTTCATTGTCTTGGGATCAACTATTATCCTGGGCATCTGGCACTTGGACAAGTAACTCCCTCCTTATAAATATTTTGAAGCTTGCATGGACTGCATTTATTTATTCTCTTTGGGAAGAAAGAAATAAAAGGCTATTAAGAAGAAGCTCAAGAACAGTTGATGAAATTCTTAAAGCTATTAAGGAGTTTGTTAGAATTCAACTAAGAGATAGGATAATCAATAGAATAGATAGAGTCAATATCTCTCTTTGTATTCAATGGGGTATTGACTAACCATATTACTATGTTGGTTGTTCATGCTCCACATAGGTTGTTTTGATGAATGTTCTGTAACTGTTTTGATGTCTGCACTGTAGCATTATACTGCTGTCATTAGGTAATAATATTCTTTTATTTATCCAAAAAAAAAAAGAATTCATAGTTAGTACTATATTAGCTTGATGTCAATTTAATTATGAAATTATTAATATATTAAATTATAATTAATATTATTAAATGATATGAAACCGATGAATCAAAAGAAGGCACTACAGGCGGAGGAATTGATGGAATATAATTGCGAAAATCATATTGTCTCCATGACTATACGGGGATTTCTATTACACCTTATATAAACAATTCTCTCACCCTATTATTCAAGCAATTTTGTCCACTTTTAATTTAACATATTTATTCATTTAGTGTCATATTCACATGCATGCTTACAAAATTTTCTCTTGGAATGGACTCGATTTGACGCACCACTTTGAATATTTTAAGCTGCTTTTTTTTAATCAATATTGACAGTCAGGGTTGTACCTAACAAATGCAAATGAGATGAGAGTGGCCTCATTTTCTGCTGTTGGAAGTTGAACGCTTGCAACTCCTTGTTCAAAGAATTTAGATTTCATACATAGTTGAATGAGAAAGCAAGATTATAGGAAGGGCGATGGATTATTAACAAAGTTATAAGAATAATCGAACCCATCGGATATCATCTTTTTCTTCCAACGGATTGATTGATAGTGACTGGTAGGGTTACTAGGAGGGGAAGCAAAAATTTTCAAGAGTTAGGTGAGATGATTGAGCCCACACGCACGTGTAATGAAGTGAGGAATTTTGTTCAGGTGGACATCTCAATCATGGTGGCATTATTCTAAAGATAAGCAAAGCCAAATACGTGAAAGAAAACAAAGATTTCTCACCTTTTTATCCCCTACAAAGCTTCACTTCTGGTGCCTCTTGCACATTGGCTTTGATTAGTACACAATAACCGAGTTGAATTCGAGGTGTTTTACTAGCCAAGTACGGTTCACATGTATAGAGTTCAACATCCATCCTCCAGCCAAGCCTGTCTTGTCGTCCCCGACCAACACACAAACGTCTCTCTCGTTCTCGACTTATCTATCCTCGGACACGCTAAGATCCAGATGCTACGCATCGGCATACCATGACAAGAGTATTTATAATGGGCCAGTTATTATCAACTGAGCCCAACAAACTATAAACAGTCACAACTGAAATATAACAACCCATATATACTATTATTCTTCTGGTTCTTCTTCTTGATGAAATTCCTCCAAAAAAATTTGTTATGGCTTTCGGTAAAAGAGAAGAGTAGATGAGTGAAAAGAGAGAAGGAAGGGTGAGATTACAGGAAAAAAGTTTCTCATTCATTCAAACATATAATCCTTCACGCGATACATGGTTTTATTTGTTTACATTGCATTTAGATTCTCTGTCCAGCTGGCTGTCCTTCTAACGACTCCAACCGTTTGTACAGGTGTCCTTTGATTTGGGCTTCATTTAGCAGGCCCATCTATTCCCAATTCTCGTTGGGTGATTCCCTTGTATCTTTAATGATCTAATGATGTTCACGTGAGTTCCAATGAATTGAATCTTTTTCAAAATTTCCCAATTCGATTTTGGAAATCTCTAACCCTTCTGCGCTACCAATTCTTCTCTCTTCGTGATCTTCCTCTTCATTCCCAATTGTAACAGTACCCGCCCCACGAAACGATCCTTATCTCCAAGGAGAAAATCCATAAAATTACATCCAAAGAACTAAATAATCATCCCAAGTATCGTATGTGTGTTCCAAATTTATCCATCGAACGAGCAGTTGTGTGACAGGTTGATCTTGCCTTTTTACAATTCACTTTTCCAAAATTTCCCGAGAAAAATTTTTAATTTGACCATCTATTTCTATTGCAAGAGGTTATGTGGAAGGCACAATTGAATCCCCTACACGTTTATTCAACAAGCTCACATGGAAGACGGGATGTATACGAGATGTATCAGGTAAATCGAGACTATAGGCGACTTTCCCAATTATTTCCATAATTTTAAAAGGACCATAGAACTTGGTTGTTAACTTCAAGTCTTTTCGTAGGGCAAGGGAAGTTTGTCTATAGTTGCAACTTCAGGTAAACTTCCTCACCAACATTAAACTCTCTTTCAGTCATGCTCTTTTCTGCACGATGCTTCATACTATTTTGTGTCTGTTGTAATTAATCTTTAATGACATTTTGCATTTTTTTACATTCTTGAGTAGTTCATTGACACTTGGCACATTAATTTATGTTTACCAAGCCATCAATGGGGGTTTGTAACCATACAGGGTTTGAAAAGGTGTCAATTGCAGAGTTGTACAATAAGTGATGTTATATCACCACTCTGCATGCGATAACCAACGAGCCCATAGGACAGGTATTAAAAACAAAACCCCCTTAGGTATTGTTCTAAGCATTGGTTAACCCTCTCGATTTGACCATCTATCTTCGGATGGTATGTTGTGCTAAACAAACAGATAGTCCCCAATTACTTCATAAGTTTCTTCCAAAAATTACTAGTAAATATCTTGTCCCTATCTGAGATGGCCATTTTAGGTTGGTCATGTAGTTTGTAAATATGGTCTAGATAAACTTTGGCAATATCCAAAGTAGTATAGGGGTGAGATAAACTCACAAAATGTTCATACTTAGTGATATTGTCTACCACAACCAAAATGCGGTCATTCTTTAGTGGTGTAAGAAGACCATCAATAAAATCCATGGTTATCACCTCCCAAGCTTGAGTTGGAATAGGATGGAGCAGACCAGGTTTAGCTAGGTGTTCCACTTTAATTCTTTGACACACATCACATTTCTGGATAGAATCAATCATCATCCTCTTTAATCCTGGCCAATAAAAATATCCTTGAACT